TATTGCTTTGGGTAGGATGGCCATTTTGACTATATTAATTCTTCCCAGCCAGGAGCATGGGATGAGTTTCCATTTGTTAGTGACATTTTTAATTTCTCTTCAGAGTGTCTTGTAGTTTTCAGGGTATAGGTCTTTCACTTCCTTGGTTAGGTTTATTCCTAGGTATTTTATTCTTTTTGATGCTATTGTGAATGGAATTATTTTACTGATTTCTCTTTCTATTAATTCATTGTTAGTGTATAGGAAAGCTACAGATTTCTGTGTGTTAATTTTGTATCCTTCAACTTTGCTGAATTCCGATACTAGTTCTAGTAGTCTTGCAGTGGAGTCTTTAGGGTTTTTTTATGTACAATATCATGTCATCTGCAAATAGTGACAGTTTGACTTCTTCTTTACCAATCTGGATTCCTTGTATTTCTTTGTTTTGTCTCATTGCCATGGCTAGGACCTCCAGTACAACGTTGAATAACAGTGGGGAGAGTAGACATCCCTGTTTTGTTCCCGAGTTCAGAGGAAAAGCTTTCAGTCTCACACTGTTCAGTATGATGTTAGCTGTGGGTTTATTATATATGACCTTTACTATCTTGAGGTACTTCCCCTCTATGCCCATTTTGTTGAGAGTTTTTTTCATGAACGGATGTTGAATTTTGTCGAATGCTTTTTCACCATCTATGGAGACGATCACGTGGTTTTTGTCCTTTTTGTTGATGTGGTGGATAATGTTGATGGATTTTCGAATGTTGTACCATCCCTGTATCCCTGGATGAATCCCACGTGATCATGGTGTATGATCATTTTAATGTATTATTGAATTCGGTTTGCTAGTATTTTGTTGAGTATTTTTGCATCTATGTTCATCAGGGATATTGGTCTGTAGTTTTCTTTTTTTGGTGGGGTCTTTGCCTGGTTTTGATATTAGGGTGATGTTGGCGTCATAGAATGAGTTTGGGAGTATTCCCTCCTCTTCTATTTTTTGGAAAACTTTAAGGAGAATAGGTATTATGTCTTCTCTGTATGTCTGGTAAAATTCCGAGGTAAATCCATCTGCCCGTGGGTTTTGTTCTTGGGTAGTTTTTTGATTACTGATTCAATTTCGTTGCTGGTAATTGGTCTGTTTAGATTTTCTCTTTCTTTCTGGGTCAGTCTTGGAAGGTTGTATTTTTCTAGGAAGTTGTCCATTTCTTCTAGGTTTTCCAGCTTGTTAGCATGTAGGTTTTCATAGTACTCTCTAATAATTCTTTGTATTTCTAGAGGGTATGTCATGGTTTTTCCTTTCTCGTTTCTGATTCTGTTGATGTGTGTTGACTCTCTTTTTCTATTAATAAGTCTGGCTAGAGGCTTATCAATTATATTTCCTCTCTCGAAGAACCAGCTCTAGGTTTCATTGATTTTTTCCATTGTTTTATTCTTCTCAATTTTATTTATTTCTCCTCTGATCTTTATTATGTCCTCCGTCTGCTGACCTTAGGCCTCATTTGTTCTTCTTTTTGCAATTTCTATAATTGTGACATTAGACTATTCATTTGGGATTGTTTTTCCTACTTTAAATATGCCTGGATTGCTATATACTTTCCTCCTAAAACTGCTTTTGCTACGCCCCACAGAAGTTGGGGCTTTGTGTTGTTGTTGTCATTTGTTTCCACATATTGCTGGATCTCCATTTTAATTTGGTCGTAGATCTATTGATTATTTAGGAGTATGTTGTTAAGCCTCCATATGTTTGTGAACCTTTTTGCTTTCTTTGTACAACTTATTTGTAGTTTTATGCCATTGTGGTCTGAAAAGTTGGTTGGTAGGATTTCAATCCTTTGGAATGTACTGAGGCTCTTTTTGTGGCCTAGTATGTTGTCTATTCTGGAGAATTTTCCATGTGCACTTGAGAAGAATGTGTATCCTGTTGCTTTTGGATGTAGAGTTGTATAGATGTCTATTAGGTCCATCTGTTCTAGTGTGTTGTTCAGTGCCTCTGTGTCCTTACTTATTTTCTGTCTGGTGGATCTGTCCTTTGGAGTGAGTGGTGTGTTGAAATCTCCCAAAATGAATGCATTGCATTCTATTTCCTCCTTTAATTCTGTTAGTATTTGTTTCACATATATTGGTGCTCCTGTATTGGGTGCATATATGTTCATAATGGTTATATCCCCTTGTTGGACTGACCCCTTTATCATTATGTAATGTCTTTCTTTATCTCTTGTTACTTTATTTATTTTGAAGTCTATTTTGTCTGATACTAGTAATGCAACACCTGCTTTTTTTCTCTCTGTTGTTTGCTTGTAATATCTTTCTCCATCCCTTGACTTTTAATCTGTGCATGTCTTTGGGTTTGAGGTGAGCCTCTTGTAAGCAGCATATAGATGGGTCTAGCTTTTTTATCCATTCTATTACTCTGTGCATTTTGATTGGTGCATTCAGTCCATTTACATTTAGGGTGATTATTGAAAGATATGTTCTTATTGCCATTCCAGGCTTTAGATTCGTGGTTACCAAAGGTTCAAGGTTAGCTTGTTTACTACCTTACTGTATGACTTAACTCGCTTATTGAGGTGTTATAAACACAGTCTGATGATTATTTCTTTCCCTTCTTTTCCTCCTCCTCCATTCTTCATCCGTTGGGTATTTTGTTCTGTGCTCTTTTTAGGAGTGCTCCCATCTAGAGCAGTCCATGTAAAATACCCTGTACAGGTGGTTTGTGGGAGGCAAATTCCCTCAACTATTGCTGGTCAGGGAACTGTTTAATCCCTCCTTCATACTTAAATGATAATCATGCTGGATACAGTATCCTTGGTTCAAGGCCCTTCTGTTTCATTGCATTAAATATATCATGCCATTCTCTTCTGGCCGGTAAGGTTTCTGTTGAGAAGCCTGATGATAGCCTGATGGGTTTTCCTTTGTAGGTGACTTTTTTTCTCTCTCTGGATGCCTTTAATACTCTGTCCTTGTCCTTGATCTTTGCCATTTTAATTATTATGTATCTTGCTGTAGTCATCTTTGGGTCCTGTCTCTCAAGAGTTCTGTGTGCCTCTGTAGTCTGAGCAACTATTTCCTCCCCCAGTCTGGGGAAGTGCCCAGCAATGATTTCTTCAAAGATACTTTCTATCCCTTTTTCTCTCTCTTCTTCCTCTGGTACCCCTATAATGCGGATATTATTCCTTTTGGATTGGTCACAAAGTTCTCTTAATATTGTTTCATTCCTGGAGATCCTTTTATCTCTCTGTGTCAGCTTCTATGCATTCCTGTTCTCTGGTTTCTATTCCATCAATGGCCTCTTGCATCTTATCCATTCTGCTTGTGAATCCTTCCAGAGTTTGTTTCACTTCTGTAATGTCCTTCCAGATGTCTGTAATCTCCCTCCAGACTTTATCCCTTAGCTCTTGCATATTTCTCTGCAGCTCTGTCAGCATGTTTATGATTTTTATTTTGAAGTCTTTTTCAGGGAGACCGGTGAGGTCTGCCTCTGCAGATCCTTTCTCACGTGTTGTTTGAACTATCTTGTGCTGGACTAAATTTTATTGCCTTTTCATGGTGATAGCAGTGGCTGTAGGCAGGTTGCAGGTGTGTCAGCTGGGAGAAGAAAGTACTTTCCTGCTTGCTGGATGCCTTGCCTTTCTCCGCTGCCTGTGACAGTTACCCGCACTCCTGGAGTAGCCACTGGGTTAGTCCCCTAAGCAGCTGTGGGCGGGGTCTCTATCAGAGCAGCACAGAGCCCTGCGGGGAGTGGCAGGCACACCAGCTGTGCTCCTCCGTGCTGGAGGCACCACTGTCGGGCACCTGTGTGGCAGCAGTGGCCTTTGGGTCTGGCCTCGGCGGCTGTGAATTGGGCTGGGTTTCTGGTCGGCTGCTGGGAGCATGCCTGCTCTCTCTGGCTCTGCTGCAGGTGCGCGTGGGCCTCCATCGGGCTCCCCTGGCTTCACTGCCGCCAGTGCGCGCAAGCCGTGCCTGGGCTGTTCAGTTGCGCAGCTGCGGGCTCGCACAAGCCTCTCCTTGTCCCATCTGGTGCTGCTGACACAAGGATCTGCTCCCGGTCCCTTCCAGCGGTGCCGTCCCCAGAACACGCTGCCACTCTCCCGCTACTTGGCCAGTGTGTCGGGGTCTGTGCCAGTTGGAGGAACGACTGGCAGGCTGCTTAGTGCTGTGAGGGCCTTCAGAGCTGCACTGCCTCCCAGGGGATTAGGGGGCCTACATTTCCCCGGGATCCCAGCTGTTGGCTATATGTGCTGGGACAACTTTGTCCAGCTATGGGATCCCTGCCTCTTTAAGACTTGCAGAAAGCACTCGCTCTTTTTTGTCTCAGGGGTGCCGCTTGCAGGGACCTGCCCACAGGTTTTGCTTTTCCGTTTCTCTAATATGCAGCACCCGGTGTCTGCTGTTCCGGGTGCGTATTTCAAGAGCTGGTTGTTTAGCAGTCCTGGGCTTTCACTCCCTCCCCGTTCCGACTCCTTTCTTCCTCCCGGGTTCTGGGGTAGAGGAGCGTTCAGGTCCCGCCCGGCCATGGCTTGTATCTTACCCACTTCATGTGATGTTGAATTCACACAGATGTAGATATATCCTGGCTGTTGTACTGCATCCACTGGTGTCTCTTTTAGGAATAGTAGTATGTATTGTATTTTCATAAATATATATGTTTTGGGGAGGAGATTTCCTCTGAACTACTCACACCGCAATGTTCTCGTGATCCTCTCGCAATTAAGTTTTAATGGAACAAAACCTCACCGATTTGTTTGTGTATTGTCTACTGCTGCTGTTGCACTACAGTGACAGTTTAGTAGTCACAACCACATGGCTTGAAAATACTTACTAACTGATCCCTTACCAGAAAAAGTTTGCTGACCTCTGGTCTAAAAGATAATTTGTTCAAAGTTGTAGTGAATCTAGACTAGGACAAAAATCTTGTGTTGTCAAGTCACACTGTTTTCCCATAGTGACTGACCATAGGCCTAAATTTATCCATTTTTATGGTTTCAGTTTTCAGAAATAAGGAAGACTGTGTATAAACCACTTACTTCATATGTTCTGTTCCAGTTGTCTGTCTCTTGTTTGTGTTGACTCTGTTTAAGTTGGTTTAAACTTGGCTTAATAAGAGAATTTCCGACTGTTTCCTTTGTCCAGTCATCCACCAGTTTGTGTAGGTCATCTGTGAACATCCCTTTTTTACTAGCTGGAGATTGCTGGCATGATGCTGCATTAGTCTCTACACACAATGGATCTATAAGGAAAAACACAGAAATCATGAAAAGATATTAAACTGATAAATACTCTTCTCTGGCCAACAATACAGTTGACAGAACTACATATGGGGTACAGATAGGGTAACCGTACACTCTAGTTTATATTAGATAGTCCCAGTTTAGAATTATTTTCCTGGAGTTACTATTAATGATATCCCTTCCATTCTCAAAAGTTTCCTCTTGTTTACATGGCAAATTATATGGTGACCTTAGGTATAAATAAAACATAATAAATAGAGTCTCTAAAAAAATTAATATCAACCTTAATAGTCTCATCAGTTTCTTTAGACAGAGACTTAAAAGAGTTAAAAAAGAATCACAGAAATATACAGATTCAGTGCAATCCCTACCAAAATACTGACAGTACTCTACAACAAACTGGAACAAATAGTTCTAAAATTCATATGGAACCACAAAAGACCCTGAATAGCCACGGCAATCCTGTGAAGGAGGAATAAAGCAGGGGGAATTATACTCCCCAACTTCAAGCTCTACTACAAAGCCACAGTAATCAAGACAATTTGGTACTGGCACAAGAACAGACCCATAGACCAACAGAACAGAATAGAGAGCCCAGATATTAACCCAAGCATATATGGTCATTTAATATACAATAAAAGAGCCATGGATATACAATGGGGAAATGACAGCCCGTTCACCAACTTGTGTTGGCAAAACTGGATAGCTACATGCAAGAGAATGAAACTGGATTACTGTCTAACTCCATACACGAAGGTAAACACAAAATGGATCAAAGACCTGAATGTAAGTCATGAAACCATAAAATTCATAGAAGAAAACATAGGAAAAACTCTCTTGAATATAAATATGGGCAACTTTTAAATGTACATATCTCCCCAGGCAAGGAAACAAAAGCAAAAATGATCAAGTGGTACTATATCAAACTAAAAAGTTTCTGTACAGCAAAGGACAGCATCAGTAGAACAAAAAGGCATCCCTACAGAATGGGAGAATATATTCATAAATGACATATCAGACAAGGGGTTGACATCCAAAGTATGTTAAGAGGTCACATGCCTCAGCAACCAAGAAGCAAATAACCCGATTAAAAAATGGGCAGGGGATCTGAACAGACACTTCTCCAAAGAAGAAATTCGATGGCCAACAGACACATGAAAAGATGTTCCACATTGCTAGTCATTAGAGAAATGCAGATTAAAACCACGATGAGATATCACATCACACCAATGAGGATGGCAAGCATTGAAAAGACTAAGAGCAACAAATGCTGGTGAGGATGTGGAGAAAGGGGAACCCTCTTACACTGCTGTTGGGAATGTAAATTAATTCAACCATTGTGGAAAGCAGTATGGAGGTTCCTCAAAATACTAAAAATAGAAATAACATTTGACCCAGGAATTCCATTGCTAGGAATTTACCCAAAGAAATCAAGTTCTCTGATTCAAAAAGACATATGCGGGGCAGAGCCAAGATGGTGGTGTGAGTAGAGCAGTGGAAATCTCCTCCCAAAACCACATATATCTATGAAAATATAACAAAGACAACTCTTCCTAAAATAGAGACAAGAGGACACAGGACAACATACAGACCACATCAACACCTGCGAGAACCCAGTGCCTTGCAAAGGGGGCAAGACGCAAACCTCGGCTTGGTGGGTCCCTAGCGCACCTCCCCCCACCTACCGGTGGGAGGAGAGAGGTCTGAGTCGGAGGGAGAACGAGCCCAGGAATGCTGAACACCCAGCCCCAGCCATCTGGACCAGAGTGTACAGTGCAAGCGCGGAGCCCTGGATACTAGGGAAACAGGGTAGAAAGAATGGTGACCGGGTACCGGAGGCCGGCGCCGGAGGACAAAAGAAAAGTGAGCGGCCATCTTTTTTTTTTTTTTTTTTGTTGTTCTTTTGTTTTGGTGAGTGCTTTCTGGAAGTCTTAAAGGGACAGGGACCCCAATACGAGGGAAACAGGGCAGCAAGACCAGCGAGCGGGTACTGGAGGCCAGCGCCGGAGAAAAAAAGAAAAGCGAGTGGCCATTTTCTGTTGTTGTTGTTGGTTTGTTGTTTTCTTTTGGCTAGCGCATTTTGGAAGTCTTAAAGGGATAGGGACCGCAATACCAGGGAAAAAGGGCAGCAAGACCAGTGAGCGGGTGCCCGAGGCTGGCACCAGAGAATAAAAAAAAGCGAGCGGCCAATTTTTTTTTTTTTTTTTGTGGTCGTTGTTTTGTTTTAGTGAGTGCTTTTTGGAAGTCTTAAAGGGGTAGGGTGGGACACTGAGTCCAGAGGTAGGGAATCCGGGGATCTCTGGGCACTTGAATCCCTTTAGCTGCAGGGAACATGGAGGCCCTCTACAGAGATAAATAGCATCCCAGCTGCTCACCCTCCAATGGAACTCCACCAATTTGGAGCAGTGGACAAACCAGGCAACGCCCACAGCAACAGTGGAGATAAACTCCATAGCAGCTGGGCAGGAAGCAGAAGCCCTGTCTGCATGCAGCTACCCAGCACAAGCCAATAGAGGTTGCTATTCTCCCAGGAGAGGAAGGCCACAAACCAACAAGTAAGGGAGTTCTTTCAGCCGTCACTCATCCCAGCTCTGCAAACTATTCCTATCACCATGAAAAGCCAAAATTACAGGCAAACCAAGATCACAGAGACACCAGAGAAGGAGACAGACGAAACCAGTCTTCCTGACAAATAATTCAAAATAAAAATCATAAACATGCTGACAGAGATGCAGAGAAATACACAAGAGAAATGGGATGAAGTCCAGATGGAGATCACAGATGCCAGAAAGGAGACCACAGAAATGAAACAAACTCTGGAAGGATTTATAAGCAGAATGGATAAGATGCAAGAGGCCATTGATGGAACTGAAACCAGAGAACAGGAATGCATAGAAGCTGACATAGAGAGAGATAAAAGGATCTACAGGAATGAAACAATATTAAGAGAAGTGTGTGACCAATATGAAAGGAACAATTTCTGTATTATAGGGGTACCAGAAGAAGAAGAGAGAGGAAAAGGGATGGAAAGTATCTTGGAAGAAATAATTGCTGAAAACTTCCCCAAACTGGGGGAGGAAATAATCGAACAGACCATGGAAATACACAGAACCCCAAACAGAAAAGACCCAAGGAGGACAACACCAAGACACATAATAATTAAAATGGCAAAGATCAAGGACAAGGAAAGAGTTTTAAAGGCAGCTAGAGAGAAAAAGGTCACCTATAAAGGAAAACCCATCAGTCTATCATCAGACTTCTCGACAGAAACCTTTACAGGCCAGAAGAGAATGGCATGATATATTTAATGCAATGAAACAGAAGGGCCTTGAACCAAGGATACTGTATCCAGCATGACTATAATTTAAATATGATGGCGGGATTAAACAATTCCCAGACAAGCAAAAGCTAAGGGAATTAGCTTCCCACAAACCACCTCTACAGGGCATCTTACAGGGACTGCTCTAGATGGGAGCACTCCTAGATAGAGCACAGAACAAAACACCCAACATATGAAGAATGGAGGAGGAGGAATAAGAAGGAAGAAAAGAAAAGAATCTCCAGACAGTGTATATAACAGCTCAATAAGTGAACTATGTTAGGCGGTAAGATACTAAAGAGGCTAACCTTGAACCTTTGGTAACCACGAATTTAAAGCCTGCAATGGCAATAAGTACATATCTTTCAATAGTCACCCTAAATGTGAATGGACTGAATGCACCAAACCAAAGACACACAGTAAGAGAATGTATAAAAAAGCAAGACCCATCTATATGCTGCTTACAAGAAACTCACGTCAAAACCAAACATGTGTACAGACTAAAAGCAAGGGACAGAAAAACATATTTCAGCCAAACAACAGCAAGAAGAAAGCAGGGGTTGCAGTACTAATATCAGACAAAATAGACTTCAAAACAAAGAAAGTAACAAGCGATAAAGAAGGACACTACATAATGATAAAGGGCTCAGTCCAACAAGAGGATATAACCATTCTAAATATATATGCACCCAACACAGGAGCACCAGCATATGTGAAACAAATACTAACAGAATTAAAGGGGGAAATAGACTGCAATGCATTCATTTTAGGAGACTTCAACACACCACTCACCCCAAAGGATAGATCCACCGGGCAGAAAATAAGTAAGGACACGGGAGCACTGAACAACACAGTAGAGCAGATGGACCTAATAGATATTTACAGAACTCTACATCCAAAAGTAACAGGATTTACATTTTTCTCAAGTGCACATAGGACATTCTCCAGAACAGACCACATACTAGGCCACAAAAAGAGCCTCAGCAAAATCCAAAATATTGAAATTTTACCAACCAATTTTTCAGACCACAAAGGTATAAAAGTAGAAATAAATTGTACAAAGAAAGCAAAAAGGCTCACAAACACATGTTGGCTGAACAACATGCTCATAAATAATCAAAGAATCAAAGAACAAATAAAAATAGAGATCAAGGAATATATAGAAACATATGACAACAACAACACAAAGCCCCAACTTCTGTGGGACGCAGCGAAAGCAGTCCGAAGAGGAAAGTATATAGAGACCCAGGCACACTTGAAGAAGGAAGAACAATCCCAAATGACTAGTCTAACATCACAATTATCGAAATTGGAAAAAGAAGAGCAAATGAGGCCTAAAGTCAGCAGAAGACGGACATAATAAAGATCAGAGAAGAAATAAAGAAAATTGAGAAGAATAAAACAGGAGCAAAAGTCAATGAAACCAAGAGCTGGTTCTTTGAAAAAATAAACAAAAGAGATTAGCCTCTAGTCAAACTTATTAAGACAAAAAGAGAATCAACACAAATCAACAGAATCAGAAATGAGAACGGAAAAATCACAACAGACTCCACAGAAATACAAAGAATTATTAAAGACTACTATGAAAACCTATATGTGAACAAGCTGGAAAAACAGAAGAAATGGACAACTTCCTAGAAAAATACAACCTTCCAAGACTGACCAGGGAAGAAACACAAA